CAACCCTTAGTCCTCACAGGCTTCTCAGCTCCCCCAGGCCCTGCAAGTCCCCGAATTCCAGGCGCTGCAGCCGCTGCTGGTTCTCCACGTAGCTGCAGGGAGAGGGGTGGGTCAGCAGAGGAGGGGGGGGCGGATCAGCTGGGTCAGGACCTCAAAGGAGTTACCCCATGCCCACCACCCACTCGCCTCCCTCACACAAGCACATGCACCATTCACACACAGACCCATTTCCCAGACCCATTCATGCACATGTCCCTGCATGCTGACCTGACTCACAAGTTACACACGGGCCTACATGCACACATGCCCCCTCACCTTTACGTACATGCAGACTCTCACATGCCTCCTGCAACACATATGCAAGTGTCCAGAAGCACATGGGGGCATCCTCATAACCCTCACCCAAGGACACACACGAACAAAGCTCACGTAAGCTTCTCCCATGCACACACAGATGTGAAGGTGTGAAGACACGTTAGTCAATGCACACTGCCACTGTTCTCAGCTTGGGGCTCCACCTCTCCAGCACACACACACACACACACACACACACACACACACACACACACTCAACAACAGGGGGTCGGTCGTGCTGGGACTCACTTTCACAAAGGGCAAGGCTCCACCCAGTGCCCCAATTATCATGCCAATGTGTGCTCCCAAACACAGCTTAGTGCCTACTATCTGGGTCCATTGACACCAAACACACACACACACACACACACACACACACACACACACCACATATACCCCACCCCCTCTGTCCCCTCAAAACCTTTGGTTGTCCCCCACAGCAACCTCTACTCTCCCGCTCTCCAGCACCCCTGCAAAGCCAGCCAAAAGCACAGAGCTGTTGGGGAGCCCCCAGCCCCTCCTTAATCCGTGAAGGGCTCAGGAAGGGAGAGAGGAGCATGGACCTGATGGAGTCTGAGTGTGTGGCTGGAGAGAGATGGAGATGCGGGGTGAGACAGGGAGGCTGAGTGAGGTGGAGGAGGAGGAGGAGGAGGGAGGGAAAACAGAGTCAAAACTGAGAAAAGGCTGACAGCAGAAACGCCTGGGTAGTGCTGGTGGGAAGGACAGACAGATAAGGACGCGGAGCCACGGAGACAGAGATAAGGGAGAATTGAGAACCAGGGAGAACTGAGAGCCAGGGAGGCTGAAATCAAAGGGGGGGAGCAAGCAGCACTGGGGGGTGGGTGGGTGGGGTGGCTGTGGCTACGGCCCTATCTTGTGGATCTGGGAGTTCCTGTGAACTCACTCCCCTGTAGTGGCATGTCCGCATTTTCCTCTCCTCTCTCCACCCCCCCCCCCCCCGTGTGTGGCAGGGGCCCCTGACTCACTAACAGTTCTCAGAACTCTTCCCCTCTCTTTTGGACCTCTGCTTAGTAAAAAAGCAGCAAGGAACAGATTCAGTCCAAGCCCAGCACCCCGCCCCCGCCCCATGCTTCCCTGATCCCAGCCTTGACCCCAATAGGACGTGTCAATCCTCACTCTGGAAGTCTAGGGAGACGCAGCTAGCCACTTTGACCCCAATAGGATGGTCCGTGTCCATCCTCACCCTGGACGTCTAGGGAGACGCAGCTAGCCACTTTGGGGGAGGCCAGATCCCTGTTGTGTGCCCCAAGGGTTTCAAGCTACAGAGACCCAGGGAGTTGGTAAGATGTGAAGAGCTGGGTAAGTATGGGCTGTCAGGCAGTGTGTTCCACGCCGCCTCATTTGTTCGGATTCATAATCAATCTGTCTATTCGAGTCCATTAGCTCCTTGTTAGCTATGCGGGTGAGGGAGGAGGGAGAGGGCCAGGCAGGAGGCGGCGGGAGGATCGGGCCCCACCCAGGGGGACATCTCCGCTCACCACCCCGCCAACCTCCTCTTCTACTGCCCGGGCTCGCCCACTGCCCCCGTCCTGGACTGCCCTGGAGCCCGGGGAGTCACTGGGGAATGAGAAGGCTGAGGGGAACGGTCGGGAGCCTGGACTCTGGTTTGAATGGACAGGCCTGGGAGCAACCATCTAGACCTCATGCCCCATCCCATGATGCAGGAGCCTAGGCCAGACCAAGACAAGGCCATCTCCTCTCCTCCTGGTCTCCCTGGGGGCATTAGAAAGAGATGGAGTATCTCCGTTAATTACCACAAGATGCCCGAGTAACTCGGTGCCAATCACGGCAGGCTGCTGGCTCCACCAGCATGCAGAATACTCAAGTATTTGCAGCCATCACGGTGACGCTGAGTCCCTTCGAGTCAATAATACTCTCAGAGGTGTCACCAGCTGCTAAAAAGTACTTGAGCATTTTGTAACCAATTATTGCAGAATGTCAGAGTACTGCGGAGCTGAAGGTTCCTCCCAGCTCCGGACCTGGAAGCGGGGAGAATCTCAGCAGCAGCCCTGATGCCCCGATACAGGTAGGGAGGCGTCGGTGAAAGGGGAGATGGGAGAGAAGCAAAGAGCTTTCATTTCCCACATCCAAATTAAGAAGTCTTGGGGTCAGTGGGAAGGAGGGGAAGCCCAGACACCAAGCTGGTTCCTCGCCGTCTCCCATCCACTCCGGCTCCATCACAAATCCAGAGAAGACCTGATACCCTGGTCATGACGAGGAAGAGGTTGGGGGCTGGCGTCCCCCTAAGAAGGGGACATGACAAAAGTACAACGTGCCGAATTCTCCACACTAACCTCTCCTCCACGGGGCCGGACTTGGCCCTTGAATAAACCCCACAAAGAGCTCCTAGAACGCGGGATCAAGCCCAGGTCTACCGAGTTCCCCTCTTGCTCTGCCCCAAGCCAAGCACCCCAACTACCCTTAATCCTGGGCGACATCCAGACAGTGACTGCGCGGCTTTGCCAGGGTGGTGGCAGCAGCAGCAGCAGCAGCCTCTGCAGCTCAGCCAAGGGCTACACGTGCCAGCCTCCTAGAGCCGCCAAGCCTGGCCCCTCCAGCCAGAGGTGAGTGCGCGCCCTCGGGGAAGGGCTGTGCCCCCCTGACCCCGCGCCCCTCCCCCGCCACACACTCACAGCTCTGTCAGGTTCCCGGCGCCCCGCAGGCCGCGGAGGGTATCCAGGGTCCCTGCCCTGGTGCAGCGCAGCCCCGAGGGGCCCACGGGGCAGCAGGCCTCCCGACAGGACGCGGCGCAGGCAGAGGCCAGCATCAGCGAAGCCAGCAGGCCTCCCAGCCCCGCGGCCCGGCGATGCCAGCCCAGCTGCCCG